ATAAGTTGTATGTAATACTTCAATTGTCAATTTTTGATAATCGCTAACAATCCACGGTTTACCAAAAGGAGGAGTATTCCAATCCAATTGTTGAGACTTATCGCAAGCTCTATAAAGATTAGTAATTGAATTTAATATAGTTTCTGCGTATTGTTGAATTTCACCATTCGGGTCTTCTTTTTCCGCAATTAAAACTAATTGAACTAAACTTTCGATTCCCATTATAGCAATGATGCTATTTGTGACTGCATTGCGTTCACTCATCATGTTTGTTGTACGGCCATCTCTGCCAGTAAAATAATATTTGATATTTAGATAAGTTCTTTTTATTTTCATCAAAAGATTAGCTTTTTGATCCACACTTTGAACTTTTAGCTTATCAGCTTTGGGGCTTCCAATATTATTATGCTTTTCTGCCATATTATTTATCATATCAGTGATAATTATTATTATTTCTCCAATGTTACTTTTGTTAGTAAAAATAAAAGACCTAGGTGATGAATTTGTACTATTTGAAGTATTAAGAGTAGATTCATCGTCGTTTGATTTTTGATAATCATTAGTGAGAATTTCAAGAAGATCGCTATAAGCCCAATATTTAACTATTTCGGATTTTGTATATTTTAATCCAGACTGTAATCTAGATGCATTATCAGTTCGAGAAAAGCTTGTCTTTTCACCTGCGACCAATGAGCAAATGGATGGAAATAAAAATGATATATAAATTGTTGATGTTACGATTAATCCTGTGTAAAGTTGATTTTTAAAGTAAAAATAGCTGAAACTAATAATAAGAGGAAATATTGGAACACTGAAAATACAATATTCTTTAAAAATAGAAAATCTACTTTCAAATGGTTTCCTATTATTACTTGATACAAAATTAACCAGAATAATTGTAAAGTCAAGATACAACAACAAAGATATTATAATGAATAACGATAAAGCCAAATTAAACTGAATATTCGAAATATACATTGAAAGGTGAAAAAATATCCAAAAATATTGAGTTAAGTAAAAAAGCAATGGTTTCTTATATTCTCTCCAAGTAAGGACATTTTTTCGGATAGGTATCACTGTTAATGATAAATTATAAAAATATAACGGGAAGCTTGCTGTGATGAAAACAATCGGGAATAGTAATGACATATTTGTATATTTTTGATGAAAATAATATCGAAGGAATTCAGCATATAAAAGGTAAATAGCATATGAAACTGATACCCAAACAATTACACCAGCATATTTCCATTTCCAAACATTGGAAATAAATGCTTCATCTGTCAATTGATTATTATTAATCATTTTGGTTTGATAAATCAAGGTGAAAAACGTAAATAGAAAAAGTTTGTTGAAAAAATTCTATTATTTATAAAATTTATTATATTTCTAGGCCTTATTAAGGTATTCATTCAATTTTGTAGTATTCAAAAAGTGACAACGAAAATACATATTTTGCGAAATATATCATTATAAATTTTAATTTTTTTTATTAAATATTCATAAAATTAATAATATCATTATATAATATATTTAAATTATTGTATATCTTGCTAAAAGTAGAGATAATTTCATAAATAATCACTCAGCTAATCTTTTCAACCTGAGTTAAAATTTGAAAAATTGGCCATATTTTTTGATTTTAAAAAGATTTATTTTAAAAAATCAAAAATTCCGACGCTGGGGACTTTATTTTGGATAGATTTTTTCTTTGAATACTTTACATATTTTTACTTTTCAGAAATCTTTATTTTCTCACAATTTTACAATTGTTTATATCTTACAATCTCACAATTATTTCTTAAAAAAATGCTCAATATTCTGAAGCATATAATAATTTCATAGAATTGATCTCAATTTTCTGATGATTCAAATATTTCATAAAAAATAAATTCAATTTAATAAATTAACTAAAAAATATATCTTATATTTTAAATTGGATTTTCCTCATATTTGCTATAATATTTATACAAAACATCATTTTTTTTCTAAACTTATCAAATTGTAAAATTTTCATTCAAAAAGAAAAATTAGTTTATTTTTATATCATACGTCAATTTTACCATTATATTTAGTAAATAAATTTTTTATCATCATATATTTTATTATATTATAATATGATAAAATATACTGCTTTTGTTCAACCTTAATATGGTCTATATTTCTATAAATGGAAAGCGAAGATTCACAAGAACAAAAAGATAAAGAAAAGCATGATCTTGGAGGAGCAATTTCTCTCCGTTCAATGCTTTTACGACATCAATTAGCTCAAGAAATTCGAGTAATGAGATGTGAAAATTTTGGAAGTGCTTACTTCCTAACTGCATCAAAAGATAATTTAACAGAATTTGAAAATAGCCTTAACCGTCTTCTTAGATATACTCCAACGCAACCAGTTGGAAACCCTCCTCTTTTACGAAATGAGCCTTCAAAAGATCAAGTAATTTTACGAAAGCGAAATTCAGTAAAGCATCGATATTCAGTTCCATTTTTCTATACAGCATTCAAAATTGTAACTAATTTCTGGGTTCATCATTTTATAACATTATTATTATTGATTAATATTTGCACTTCTGTTTATCTTGCATCATATGAAGAAGAAGATCATCCTTTTGTTTTCCAAATTCTTCGAAATTTTGAATTTGCTGCTACAGGTGTTTATTGCTTTGAGGTTCTATTACAAATGATCGCTTATGGAATTCGATATTTTTATGATAATAATTTTATTACTCCATATGCTGTTGATCTTGTTATCCTAATATTGTCGATGATACCACCAGGTTTCATTCTACTTATTGTATCTTATCAGAATAAAGATATAACAAAAGTTAATGAGCAGATCAAATTTGTATATATTTTAAATGCCCTTCGAGTTTTTAGAATAGTTACACGAACAAACTCTCTCTTGCATATTACTCAGGCGTTGTTAAAATCATACAAGCAGTTTGCCTTTGTTACCATTCTCATCTTTATTATTATGTACATTTTTGCAATTCTTGCAATGAATCTATTTTATTCATTCACAACCTCTAAAAGAGATGATCTTGAATTCAAAACCCGTTTTTCATCATTTGGTAGTGCTTTAATTACAGTTTTTCAAATCATGACTTTTGAAAGCTGGCTTGCAATGTGTCAGGAAATTTCATCAGTATGCAATCCTATTATTACGTATGTATACTTCATTGCATGGGTATGGTTAGGTGCTTTTGTTATTTCTAATATATTTGTTGGTGTTTTAGTTGATCAATTTAAGAGTGAAACAGATTGCCAAAAAGAAAGAAAAGATAATGAAAAAGTTGCTAAATTCGCTATCAGAGAAAGAAAAAAGCATGCAAAAATGACAGGATCTGCTCGTCGCTTTAATGCGAAAATGCAATTAACTGGTCGAGAAATTGCTCAAAAAATTGCTCAAATTTACTCTCAATTTGAAGCTTTTGAAACCACAAATAAAGAAATGGGAGTTGATGAAAATTGTAAAGCTGAAATTGTCAACTTATTGAAGAAAATGGGGCAAGATTATGAAACAATTTGGAAGAACAAGCAGCTTTACCAATATTTCAAAATTTTATGTCAAATCTCAGATAATATTGCGGAAATGGAGCAACTAGAAAAAATTGCATCTCAAGCAATTCATGCTTGTATAGAAACAAAATCCTGATTTCCATTTTTATATGATTGTTTTCTTTTGTTTATTAAAATTTAGATTCTTTCCTAGTGTCATTCTGTTTATATACAGTTTTTCTTTTTAGATTAAATTGATTTCGAATCAATTTATTTTTTTTTTTTTTGTAATTCGAGCTATTTTAAACGTATGAAAATAATCGTTATTAAGTTATTATGTCATCAAGTGCAGAAGCTTCAGATAGTTTTAATTCAGAAAGAGATGAAAAGGATAATAATGAAAACGAAATTCCTGCAGATGTTAAAAATGCAAGGGAACAATGGGATAAAATTGGTAAGCAACAAGATGAATTAAATCAAAATTTAGAGACACAGAAAGGAGTTGGAGGAGTAATTATTGACAGAGGATCGCCAATAACATTTTATGATGCTCGTGCTTTTTTAATTGAAGAATGCCAAAAATCATCAGAAATAAAAAACATTAAAGTTCCAGAACTTGTTTCTGATCCTCCAAGATGTTTTTGTTTTAAACCAAAAAAGAACATGGAAGCTGTAAACGCTTGGGAAAAGATATTTAAAATATCAAAAATAAAATTTGATGAAAACAACCTTCTACATCATAGAATTTTGAATACATTGCATATGCTTGTAACTGGATGCTCAACACCTCCAGTACGCAAAGGAAGTCATTGGCAAACAATTGGGTTTCAATCAAATGATCCTATTACAGATTTAAGAGGTTCTGGAATGATGGGACTTTTATTACCATTAAACCTATTTGCTAAATATAAAGTTCTTTCAAAGTTTTTGATTGATACTTCAAGACTTCCAGAACAAAACTTTCCTATAATGGTTGTTCTTATATCTTATACAAAAGCTGCAATTGAAGCTGCAGGAACAACAGACTTATTAAAGGCTGGAACAAATTTTGAAACATGTTGGGATAGAATGGCATATTTCTTTGCTGGAATGGTACAAACTCTTTGTTCGGAATGGAGAAATGAATTATTGGATTTTGAACACGACTTCACTCGTTTTGATCAAGTTTCAAATAGAGCAAAGGCAAGACCTTTTCAAATGGTTGAAGAGGGAGCCAAAGCTGTCCAAGAAGATGAAAAAAAGTTAATTGATGATAATGAAGCAAATCAATCAGAAGAAATTCTAGAATAATTTATAGAATACCAAATTTGGTATTGAATGGTCATAGTTTCATTTGTAGAATTTACATTATATAATGATAGAATATTCATAATTTATTATTATTAATAAAATACGAATTTATGTGAATGTAAATCAAGAAAACATCAATATTTTTGTATAACATTTATAATATATTTTCTTGATTGTTGGAAAAACATTTATAATATTAAAAAAAAAAATCCGCGCTGCTGGAATCGAACCGGCGACATTCTGATGACCATTGAAAAGTTTCTACAGTCAGACGCTCTACCACTGAGCTAAGAGCGGCGCTGAATATTCAAATGAGTAATGTATTTTGATGTTGAAGCATTTCATACATTACAATTTTCTATCAGAAAAGTTCAGAGCAAAAATGGCTCTGATTTATTTTGGAAGAGAAAATTTGTTGTTGCAATAGTTAATCGAAATATTTCATTAAAAAGATGCAGAATACTGAAAGATGTTATCAAATAAAATCAAAGAAGATTAAACTTGAAGATAAATTTGTTTCATTGAAAACAACGAAAAGAAGATGAAGAAAAATTTTATAGAGCTGAAAGAATCACATAAAGTTTTTAATGCAACCATTGCAATAAATTCAGGTTAGAAATGGTTGTCAAAACAGTTGAACTATATTAGATTTTTAAACGTATAAAAAACATTATTTTAATCTATTTTTCATTTTATTGATTGTTAATCAATAAACCTCTTATACCTGTTTATGGGCATAGTTTGATTTTCTAATTTTGAATAGTTTATTCATTGAAAAAGTTCAAGAACCAACTATGCCCTTAAAGAAGAATAATTATTATACAACACTATATTAAATCAAAAGTTTATATGATCTTTAAGAATCATTTGCATTCTCTCCACAAAGTTAGATTAAGGAACGAGGTTGTCTGCCGATGTCTAAGCATTGAAGATCAAGGTATGGAGTTTATCCAGTTCTGGTGAATTGAACCGTCCGGATTAAATGAGTAACCGAATATTTGTACTCAAATCAAACTCGGTTTTCCAAAAAGTCTTTTCTTCTTTAAGAATTAGTTGAACTAGCTCAGTAATGAGACTGCCATAGGAAAGCTATCAGACATCTGCAAACTACACAGATGGGAAATGATAGACTAAATTTACCATAAATCATAACATTAAAATCTATCATAAAAAGTTTAATTTTTTACCCTAAATAATAGCACTTTTTATATATATAAATTTTTTGTATAGTGTAAAATCCCTTCATTGATTATAGAGAAAAATTCATTTGGATAGCCTAAAATAACATTTGTTGGTTTATCTGCAAATGGAAGTTTTTGTAAAACAAACTGCTCAACATATAAAATATAGAGATGAAACTAGTTTGTTAACAACTTTTAAAAACAAACTTTTATAAAAAATATGGCACTTTTTATTGTTAACTGACATTTTTGTAGGGCGAGCCAAGTGAGTCGTAGACGAGCCTGTGGCGAAGCGGTTTAGGCTGGGCGAAGGTAGAGAGCACAGCCAGTAGTAATACTAAGCTGTGCTCCTGGTACTACGTACCCTTCGCACACGTTCGCTTCGCTCACTAGTCTAGTTCTAATTCATTCAGTCTACCAAAAATTGTCATTTTTGTCATCCTCGACCAAATTAGTATATATACCCGCCACAGTCGCGTGACAGCTAATTTAATTGACGAAAACCCCCAAAAATCAGCTGTTTTGGTATTTAATTTAGTGCTACTTGTGGCACAAGACTATAGATATATGTCTATATATGACAATTCTAATAGCGATAACCTAAAATAATGGCTAAATAAACTATTATAATAGGCGAAATCGGCTATATTAATATGAAACCGTTTCTAAACAATTCCATAGCTATACTCATATACGACATTATCGAGATTGTGTCCAATAAAGTAGAACTAATAGTGGCAGATAATGAATGACTATTGTAGCATATAATGAATGACTATATGTATAAACGATGGATTTGGTATGTGAATTACATGAAAATTTTCTCCGAATGAAACCAATGACACTGAACACCATGTTATACGATCACGTATATGAAGGTATGAAATCCATATCTATAAATGATTTCCGTGATGACGATGATCCATTGAAACAACAAATCGAACCAATACCAACACCAGAAGAAGTCCATGATCCGTCATATATTCGATGGCAGATGTTTGATGAGATCCCTGAACGATTATACACTATACAGTGTGAAGGTTACTTCGATAAGAACGGCCATCCATTAGATGATGAAACATCGATTAAACACCTAACTAATGGTGAACCACCAGTAAATATCGATGATGAACTAGAACTTTGTGATGAGTATGGCAATGTAATCGATTATATGGATTATGATGATTATTATTATTGTATGGATCACAACAAATATGATTTACGTAAGATCACTAAACAAATCCGGACTAAGAAGTTCATCTGTGAAGCTCCAATCGGTTCTGGTAAATCGACAGCGATTCGTAAATGGATTGCATCGCATAATACAGAGAGGTTTATGGTTATAGTTCCAACAGTGAATATCGCTGAAGAGTTCTATACCAAGTTGAATGATATGTATGTTAATTCCATTCGATTATGTGTTAACGATAATGCGTTTAAAGAGTTTCACAAAGCTGTACACAATGAAGTTAATGTGATTATTACTACATACAACACAGCTTCGAAATGTTTAGGGGATCTAATTGAAGAATACTACATGAACGAACAACGATTAGATTACTTTCTAGTGATTGACGAAGCACATATATTACTACAACATATTGGATTGATTGAGATTACTAAAGAGTTCGATCGAGTTGCGTTGATAAGTGCTACTGCTGACGATATTAAACACTTCGCGTGTTTTAGAGATTACATAATCGTTAATCCATGTATCGATAAGAGATACAATCGAAATATATACGTTAACAAGTTGATACCAGATGCTGATGAACAACGAGCTGAGATAGTGAACTTAATCGATACAAAGCGAATGAACTACGATAAAGTATTAGTGAAGATCGAAGATAAGAAACAATGTAAGTTGTTGAAAGAGATGCTGATAGATAGATACAAGGTTGCGTTATACACAGGTGATACCAAAGAGATTAAGTTGAATGAAGATGGTTTGTTCGATGAAGATGTTGATGTTGTTATATCTACTTCATCTATCCAGAATGGACAGTCCATTAAAGAGAATATTCTATCTGTATTCGTCCAAACATATATCGATAGTGTGTCCAGTGTTAAACAGTTTCTAGGTCGAAACCGAAATCGAAACTCGGATGTATATGTATATGTTCGATATGATAAACACATGAACAAGAGAAAGTACTCGATACCGAACAACAGATATGAGAGATACTTAAACGAACTGCGTGATAGAGCATGGAATTGTATGAGCAAAACAGGTTGGAATTGTATATTACGTGGGTATGGTCGTGTACGATTCGGTAAATCTGCTGTTGATGACGATTCACAAAGTGAAGTTCTCGAAGAGAATGATACTTCGTACTCCGCTACCGCGGATGAACCAGTTGATGATGATGAATCTGTTGATGAACCTATCGTTAATGAACATGTCGTTGATGAACATGTCGTTAATGAACCTATCGTTGCTGAACATGTCGTTGATGAACATGTCGTTAATGAACATGTCGTTGATGAACCTATCGTTGATGAACATGTCGTTAATGAACCTATCGTTGATGAACATGTCGTTAATGAACCTATCGTTGCTGAACATGTCGTTAATGAACCAGTTGATGAACATGTCGTTAATGAACCTATCGTTGATGAACATGTCGTTAATGAACCTATCGTTGATATAGAATTTACTACCAAAAGAGATCTATACAACTATTATGGAATCGATATTAAGACAATACCAGATGGGTATGAAGTTAATATGAGATATAACAGAGTTAATGGTAAACGAGGTCGAGTATATAAATTGGTGAAGAAGTGAATCGACGATGTGATTCCTTTGTATTTTTCTCGAACTTAAATGACCGCATTAACAGAACTATTCGCATGTGATGATATGAACAAGTTGAAGCATGAACTCGCTAGACTTATCGAATCCAAAGACTATAAGACAGTGAATACATTGTTACGTCGTAATCCAAATACATGGAAATTTAATACTCGTGAACTTAATGAAGAGATACCATGTGATGATAAACACTTCACTAAACGAAAAGGTGTAATGAAGTTCGAGACCAGACCTCGACGTAAAGACTAAGACATGATGAGACCAAAAAGATGATTTTTTTAGCAAAAACCAACTACAGTAGATGCGTCATGCATTCGATATAAGAGATGAACATACTAACCCGGGATCGTACATCCAATCCTTTATAAAGAGAAACAATATGCATCTACTATAGTTGGGGAACGTTCATTACGAGGATTACATTCGTCGACAAATGCTTCTGTGTTATCTATACCACAAGTAATAGCTTACTCAAGGTGTTTAGTTCGCTATGGGCTCTATCACAAATATGATACAAATTTACACAGAAAAGTGGTATGGTAGCGAATCGAACTTGCACCTGCAACCGAAGTCCGGAGATGCACTTCATGATCCAACAACTATACCAACACAGCTAGCTAATTATAGTATCGAAATTAACATTTATGCGTTATCTGTGTAAGTTTAATTCCATCGAAATGAGTAAGACCAAGAATCCATCATTTGCAAAGCAAACTCCATACAATGGACAACCAACTCTCGAAGAGTTATACACAACCGATGACTTATCAGTACTTAAACGAGCTATCACCGAGTTAACAACCAAACAAGATTATAAGACCCTCAACACTCTGTTTCGTCGTAATCCAAATGCTAGTAAGTTCGATAGTAGAACACTTAATGAAGATATACCACAATCGACAAAACGATTCACCAAACGTAATGGTAAGCTCTGCAATGTATCACGAACAGTTCCACGACAGAGTACTACCAAACCAGAAGAGAGTGACACATACACATACAAGTCCAGATACTATGATCCACACACCAAATCGTTTAAGTATATAGATAAACCTATCGAACCATATGCTAGTGCTTCACGAATTCGTGCTAGGTACTAAATCGACACAGAACACAGATAGTGCACACACATATTTTTGGATAATAGTCTACAACATTGAAACAGGATTCTCCAGTATTGGATTCGCATACGAAACTCGTTAAAAGTGGTTAAAGATGGTATTGGATAATGTTTTCGTAAATGGATTCGTTAATATTAAGATCGTTAATGATATTTACTAGTTTCAATGTTGTAGACTATT